TGCTGCTCTGAACTGGACTTGTAAATACCCTCAGAAAGATAATGTATTTAAATGCTAAAGGAGAATGTTTAACTTTGTGGCTTTGAGACAAAGCTTTTCTTGGAGAAGCAATTCTGTGCACTTCTACTGGCAAATGTCTGTCAGCACTGGAGCAAAGTTTTCTCCACTGCTTTGTCTGCAGGGATAAGTATCAGATGTCTCCATTGTTATAACAGCAGCTCGCTTTCTCCACAGCTTGGTTCAAGGCTTAGCTGTGTGTTCTTCTCTTAGGCTTGCCTTACACCTTATTCACAGGTCCGCTTCCCACGCTCTTCTACTGTGGCACGTAGAAGGGTTGTTTGAGCTGTGAACTCAAGGAAGCCATGAAGCACAACTGTGTTGCTCCTGAAGAGCATCAGGTGTCCTGCAAATGGGAATGATTCAAATGTGGAAGGAGAGGCTGGAGCTAGCATACGCACAGTTAGTTGCCAGGCTGTTGCTGGGCAGCTTCTCTCTATTCCCTCCTGAAGAGCACTTGGGCTCTCGGGGTGGTTCCTCTGGCCTTTTGGGAGTGACCCCCTATTTTAAAGGGTGCCCTACTCTCATCTCCCTGCCGAGTCCGGGCTAACGTCTTGCTTGCCTGGGACAGACTGGGCATAGGGGCAAGTAGGCAGGTCTGACTCTCCATCGCTTCCCTTAGCTGCGACTGCAGAGGCCGGGAAGGACCATAGCTAAAACAGGGCATGACTACCCTGCCTCTGTCTTTGCATTGCGTATAGCAGCACTCTCAGACCTCTCAGATCAGTGCTGCGGTTTTGTGCGAGTGTTGTGCTGTTGTGAAATTGTTCTCTGAGCAATACAACGATGAGCTCATGTTGGCCTCTGTTCCTATAAACCCCCATGTCACAAAACCAGCTCTCTCCTGTAAGCCTCACTGAGCAATATTGCCAGGTATTCCTGCATGCCCTGTGTGTCCAGAGTACAGCCACTGTCCCCAGGCCACCTACCACTCATGTCCTGCTGCATGGAGCAGCTGAGCATGTCTTCTGCAGAGCCGTGTGCAAGCTGGCTGGCCTCTGCCATGCAGAAAGGGGAGGCCAGAGTCTGCCTGCCTCTCTTCCACCAAGTGGGCATTGATTTGGGTCTCTCTCCTGCCTGACCACCCCTTATCATGAAACCAATGGGAACATAATGTCTCTGAAACGGAGCTCTGTCTCAACCAAATCTGATGAGTTAGCCAGCAAGCCCAAAGGATAGGTGGAAGAAAGGACTGGCAGATGGGAGAAAGCAGATAGAAGGCAGTTTCATAAAGCCAGTTGCTTTAGGGAATCAACGTAATTCCTTGGTTTGAGGCAGGTGTTAGGTAAATGAAGGAATGAGGAAAGGGTTGATGGCATCATAGTGTAGTCCCACCTCTACTGACAGGCAAGCTGCCAGCTCAGCAGCAAGGCTTTGTGACCTCTCCAACCAGGAGAGCATCTACCAGGAGCCGTCGGTATCTGCTGGATTTAGGGCTCTGCAGAATGTTTATGCCTTTTTGCAAAATTTTCTCTGTGCCCCCCTAGCATGCTGTTGCATGGGGCTTAATTCTGGATCCACCTCACCTCAGCAAAGGGAGGATGGCTCGGGGGCTTTCCTAGAATCATAGTAACAAGAATCCAGGCGTCTCTCCTGCTCCTCTTTGGCAGCTCACCGAGTCCTGCAGGGTGTCCTTTGGCGTTGCCTGCTCTGGTCAGGTGCGACTATGCTGACAGCGTAGACTCTGCGCCTGCACGCGGAGTTGGCCTTAGGGTATGTGGGCTCTGCGTTCTCTTCTCAGCAGTGCTCCTGGATGTGGGGAATGGTTTCTGTTTTCTGAGTCTATCTGTGAATGTCCACTTCTATTAGAGCAATAATCAAAACTTAAATCACTTATATTTAGCTCTGTTATTTAACATCTCTGGTTCGCTCTTGAGTTGAGCAGGATGCAGGGCCCAGTTCAGTTGCAGCGAGGATGGAAGCTGGCAGTGCCCATCTCTTTTGGGTCAGTCTGTCCTTGGCGTTATAGATACCAGCATCCTCCTCTGCTGTGGACATGCATCCCCTTGACAGGATCAACTTGGATGTTTAGGCCTGGTCCCTTTTCTCTCCGTCCATGCCCCTTTCGTGTGTCAAAATCCGTTACTACAACAGGGTTAGGTTGCATTTAAATTTGCACAAAACAGCATTTATAATCAAGTTTCCTATTGCAGGGAAGACTTATTTATTTATTTCATAATCCTTCCAGTTTTCTTCCAGTCTCTGCCTGATTCCATGACCAGTTTGTCAGAGGCTCTAGAGGTGGCCGCTGCTTCTGATTAAAGAACAATCCTCTCTGGATGTTATTGCTTTCTTAACAGGTAGCAAGTTCTGCAGGCACCAGCTGACAGTGCCCTGCCAAAGCCACCGTCCTCTTTCTGCAGGCTGAGTGTGCTGCAATGGGATCTCTCTTTTAAAAAAATCCTCTGAAAGAAGATATTCCTGAATGGCAGACACTAGATAGATCTTGGTACTGCAGTCAGAGAAAGAAACTTGCTTCCACCGTGGTCTGGATGAAGCGCTGAGAACTGAAGTTACCAGTATTAAGAGAGAGATCCATTAGTGTATTTCAGTGTCCGTCTCCTGTTGGCACGACTAAGAGTAGTTGGCACCCACAAGATGTAGATGTGAGAGCACTTGCTTGTATCTGCCTGGTGGCAAATTTAGGCTGCAGCTGGAAGGTTTTCATTTGTTTGTGGTTTTTTTTTTAAATGAAAATGAGGGGGGATTCTTAGATCCTACTGCTTCAGTGGATTGCCATTTCTTTTCTTCAGGGTTTGCCCCAGTTGCAGAGAGATGCTGCTTTTTTTGGGTTTTTTTGTTTGTTTTGTGTTTTTTTTTTTGTGCCTTTCTCATTGGGATGATTCTTTTGGTTTCCAGAACACCCGGTGCGTTTGCTCTACTCTTCTTTCTCCTAGTCCTCTCTTCTGGTGACTATATCCTCCTCCCATCTTGTAACTTGGTGTCTCTCCCTCTGTTATGGTCTGGTTTGGCCTGACCTGCGTTTATGTCCTGCCACATCTTGAGTTCTGCTCTGAGCACCCAAGGTACTGTCTTTCTCAAATTGGAATTAATTATTAATATAAAAAGCTTGAAAAATCTGAATTTTGTTACATAGTGTAATAACTGTTTGTAGATACTGTTCTGAGATGTAGGAATCTATTGGTGATATAAGAGGTTTTGTCTGTAAATAATCAGTTTAGAGTCCAAATGATTTTAATAAAGAGAATTCTTACACAATAATTCAATAAATTTTAATATACAACCCAACTGTCACACTTGTGTTGCCAAATGCTGCAATTGCCAAGAATGTATTCACCTTTGCTAGTCTCCAAAGTGTAAACTCAGTACTTTGGGGCACCGGGACCCCAAGACTTGTGTTTTTCCTCTCCTGCCTGCTCGGACCTCTCTGAGATAGCCCTGCCCTCGCTTTGAGGCAGCCTTGTGCCACCTTCTGGCCGATGGCTCCTCGGGGCTGCCAGAAGTTTTGCAGTGAGCAGGTCCGTGATGCTCCTGCCGTTTCCACAGTTCAGACATGGGCCCAGCTCTTTTCTTTGGTGCTGGCTGAGCCTCCCAGCCCAGGAGGGCACCTCCGTTCTCGGGCTGAGTCTCGCGGCTCCGGGAGCAGGGCCGTGGCCGCAGTAGCTCCCTCAGGAGCTCAACGGTGGTAAAGCTGTGCTGTGGCATGTTACAGTGCTGGTTGTGGTCTCTTTTGTGGTAGGTAGCGTGTGGGGGGGAGAATAGTTGGGAGGGGTCCTTGTCATACAGCTTTTGTTAAGTGGTTTCAACCACTTGGAATATTGCGCAGCTGTTCCCAGGCTCTTAATGCTGGCCAGTATCTCTCTTCTTTTCCTCTGTCCTTTACTAGTAGAGTTTTGGATACCATCTGCCTCTCTACTTCTTATGTAGGTCACGTCAGGGCGCTTCAGTCCCTCCTTTACCCCGTGCGTGCACTTGTGCTTTTGCTGGCCTTCTGCAGGGTGCGAGGCAGACCTGCCCTGAGCGCTCGTCTCAACGGTGCATCTTTCTGGAGCCTCTGCCCCCTCGCTCGCTATTTTTAGCACTGGGGCAGGCAGGTGAGAGGACAGGGGCACAGGAGAGGGGAGAAGCACTCCGCAAGGCGCTGATTTTGTTTTGGCAGTGCGCGGCTGCAGCAGCGCTACTCCTAGGCAGCGTTAACCCTTCACTTTGGGGATGGGAATAGGTCTCTGCAGTCTCAGCCAGGAAACCTGAGCCGTGCAGTCCGAGGGCCCCAGCTAGGGGAAGGTCCGGGGCACGCCAAGTGCCGCTGCAAGGCAGCGGGGGAAAGCGTGAAGCAGTTTTCCTGCATGCGGCCGTTTGCTTCTTGGTGTCACGTGGGTGCAGGGATGCCTGGTCCCAGCTCGGCTGGGCAGAGCTGCCGGGAGCGCGGCCGCAGGGAGGACGCTGCTGCCGCGCTTGCTCTCTGGCTCGTGCCGCTTTGCGCCCCTTCAGGGGGCAGGAGGGCAGCCGCCGGGCCTGGCTGGTGCCCGGAACC